AAATTTGACTTTATCTAATAGTATCAAGCGTTCTCATACTGCTAGCTGGAAAGAGCATACAAAGTTGCATATTTTGATCCGCAAATGAGATTTTTGCCACTGACATTCGGAAAGAATTTTTGACTGGAGGACCTTATCTGCACTAGCAGATACCATTGGTTTTATGTCGTGTTGGACGAGCTCAAAACCTAACAAAACATAACTTTATTTATATTCAAATGAAAGCGGCTTCCAAGTTTGTTCGTTTGACGCACCAATGAAGTCTCTAGCACTTTTTACTTCTCCATGGTGAGTGAAGCCGGGGAACCCACTTTGGTCCTTCCTGGCCTCCTCCCTCGAAAACTCTTGCGATACACAATAAAGGAATATTTGTTATTGTTATCATTTGAATGAATAATTCTTGTTCTACAAACAGAAATAGACTGAAACATCAAGCACTATTTTCAGCAAAGCAGTCTATTTTAGTTAAATGATATACATTATTTTTTTCTCTCTAATTTAGTTTTATACAAAGCACGGCATCAACTGTTGATTCATCACCATCGACTCATACAAAATGGTTATTATCAATATTTATTGACTATGATGAAATTGAAAAATGCGAATTTATTCTTAAATTACTATTACCTCTTTCATCTCATATTCCAGTCTTAAAACCAGCGTACAATTCATCTACTTATGCTGCATTTCGTCCAATTCGGTTGACATCTTCACGTACATTGTATTATTCTACTTCTACACCAATGACAACGACAATTAATTTAAGACAATCAAAATTTCCACAAGCATACGCTCTAATGTTAAAAAATTTTTCTCGTCTAATAAAACCGTCACCATCCATCACACAATATTTATCTTTTGATACTTTGTGGTCACTTATGCCAGATATTAATGAACAACAACAATTGGAATTAAACACTTTATACGATGTAAAGACGACGACAATGATTTATGATATTATGCCAGAGATTTGGAGTGAAATCGGTACGTAAACACTGATAAATGACGTAACGAGATAAAGGAAAAAGAAATTGTTGTTTTTCACGCTCTGTTGCTGAACACTAGTGTGATATCGAGTGGATAAGAAAGAACAGTTCGCTTTTGGATGTTCTATGGTTCTCTTTCTATATGGTTCTCGAACTGAAGCTAGAGGTGGGACAGTTCCAGTTCAGTTCTTTTCAAAAAATTAAAATTTAAATAAAACCAATGAACCTACTGACATTGATTTTGTGTAGTGCGCCAGAGGTAGATGATGTGTTTAGTTGACTAAACCAAGTCAATATAAGGTTTTATTTTATTTTTAATTCTTGAAAAGAACTGGTAACCAGTTCCCGTTCAACAGAAACTGAACTAGTGGCCAGTTCTTAGGAACTGGAACTGTCCCATCCATAACTGAAGCAGGTTTTTAAATTTTTATTTTATAATCAGACTTAATTCTCTAAAAAACTATGTATTTGATTTGAAAGTAGTTGAGCTTTCTTCAGAGATGGGCGATAGTTTTCCGTGTACGAGTATTCAAAAACTGAACTCGAATACACTCGAGAACAAGTAGAAGGTTTTAGAAGCAAGAAGAAAGATTCGTTTTTGGATTTTTGTCGATTCATCCTTCATGATGACCACTTAGAAAGCTTTACACTTTGTCATCTGTTCAATCAAAAAATCATAAAACATTTTATGTATCTTGGATAAACTCGGAAGAAGAATAATTGAGCGGTAATTTAAAGGATCGTGATAGCCATCAGATTTAAACAAGACTGATCTGTTTTCCATAACGACGGACATTTACTGGTAATGACTGATCGATTAAATATGTTTGTCATCATATGGGAAATCGACCATGATCATAACAGTTATTATTGTTTCATGAGCTATTATTATTTTATTAATATAAAAATATATAAAAATGAAATAAAAATTGACACACATCGTATATAGATTTATTGTTGTTCTATAGACTCTGTATGTTTATTTTATAACTATATGAGCCGAAAGAAGAAAAATATGATAAAGAAAATAACAGATTATTTTCACTAATTCTGTTACTTATCTTGTCTTGTTGTCTATATAACGTTAAAGGGATATATCAGTAAATTAATCGCTTCTTTCTCGTAAAATGTTTACTCTGTACGGACTAATATTAAACGACGTTTGACCACACCAATTCTATACAACGCATTTGTTTGACAGTTACACTAGAGAAAAAGTTTCTTAAACTCGAGTACTTTTTTGAGTAATCATTAAAAGAAAAATAAATAGGAACTCGAGTATCGCAAATTTTGTACTCGAGTACTCGTCCATCTCTAGTTTTCTTGACATAATATGTAAAATATTAGGATCTTTCAATTTAGAAAGCTTTTTCGTTCAGACTTTAATTTTTTGAAAAGCGTTTCTAATCGTTCAGTTTAATTTTTTTATTGTTATTCTCTCACTAAAAGATGCGCATTTTCAAGCCCGCCAGAAACCACGCATAAAATTAGATTCAGTAAAAATCATAGTATCACTAATATATTTTTTCTTGAAATTCCAAGCTTAAGGGCCCGCCCTCCTCAGAAATTATCTCCGACATCTTGACGAAACTTTCCATAAATGCTAGGGGAATGAAAATTCTTTTTTTGTCTTCAAGTCTTACGGTTTTGGAGTTTTCCAGAGATCAAGGTCCAAAAAGGACCCTGAAGTGTACCCCAAGATTTTCGGATTTGTTTTATTTTAAACTAGACACCTAACTATGGACCGACCGGCGTCGATTTTTCAATTAAGTCTTTATTGGTTTTTCAGGCAACCAACAACCTCCAAAACCAGAAAATTCCTCAGTTTGACAAAAAAAATAAGACCTAATTCAAAAATCGACGCCAGTCAGCCCATGTAGTTTCTTTTCTTCTTTAAACAAAAAAAGAATGAACTCTCTGCGACAAACCGCTATTAAAAATCTTGGGACACACTTCAGGTATAACTTCCATGTAGAGAAAACGCTGTATAAAATGCTCAGTTTTAGGACTTATAGGGAAATGCCTGTAACTTTTTGATCCAAGGTCATTCAGAGTTGTGCGAGGTCTTATTTTGATCAGAAACGTTTACTCTACAAATCTGTGTGTTCAGACAAAGTTTAATTGTATGAGTATCCAGGAAAAATCTATTATTTGAAGAGACGGTTTTTTGAGGCTCCTGGAAAACTTGCTAAAAATCCGTGAAAAACCACTTTTGTAGCCAAAAGTGATACAGATTCTGGAAGTCGACACTTCAGGCTATCTTTCCATATGCGTATCTCATAACCGATGTTTTGACCGATTGATGATTTCGAATATCACCATTTCTGAGGGGGAGGGGGGCGTAACATCACAAGTTTGATGGCAAAAGATGCATAAATTCCTGCTCTACCGATCTAAGTTACTTTCCGTATCATATAAACTAGTTTTTTTGAGTGATACCACGGAGAAAGCGGGAAGTTCAACAGATTCAGCAGGTCGTAGTTAGGGGTGAGACAGTTCCAGTTCCTATTGTTTCTAGTAACTGGTTAAAAGAACTGATGACCAGTTACCGTTCCTAGTAACTGGAACTGGTCACCAGTTACTATTCTTTCAAATCGACATAATTTTACATCTCTAAGTGGATGTTTGTCGCTCTATAATATCTTTTAACAGTAAAAGGCGCTTCCCATAGTGTAGGAATATTCACATTAAAGGCTGTAGAATAAAGATTTTCTATATGTATATTGTTTCTATGGAAAATGTGGCAGTATTGTTTATGGAAACTGAACTAGGTGAGTTTATTACAGTATAAAAAACGAGATAGATGAGCATTAACTTTTCTACATCTTGATTATGCAGAAAACAGTAACTGGTGACCAGTTCCAGTTACTAGGAAGGGTAACTGGAACTGTCCCACCCCTCTAGTCGTAGTTCACGAAGAAGTGACTTCGACTTCCAATCATGAACTTTTTCATACGCTTTAATTATAGTTCAGTAGTTTTCTCTTTTTAATGAAAAGATACGGACTATTCTATAGACTTTAATGGTATCTTTTGTTTTATTTCATAACGCTATTCTTGAGCAATATAGTCCCTTAATGGAATTCATAGGAGGTGAAAGTTCTCTTTATTTGTGTACAGACTAGTCATTGTTTTATTGTTATGAAAACAAAATAATATAGAAGAACTTGTGTTGGGTATGTATATAACTTTTGTCTCTATTTTAGGTAAACAAGAATTATTTTATAGTGTTACCGATGGTTGGGGATATGTAGCAATTGAAGATATGATTATAAATAATGTTGAAGATCCCATTCAACAAGACATTCTTACTTATGTGTTTAGCGAAGCGAATGCACCCATTGTTATTCTTCCACGACATGTTGTCGATGGTCTATGTAAATATTCGAATAAACTCTATTTACAAGTAATGACGCCATTTCATGCAAGTGAATTATTATCAAAAAATTCATCAATTCTTCAACGTTTGTCTGTTGAACAAAAACTATCAATTTTAACATATATTATTTTAAATGATACTGATCCAAGTAGTCTTGTATTAGAATTACAATTATTACCATTGGCTAATGGACAATTTATTCAATTTCAAACAAAAACCAATACATTGAAAAATGTTTATATTTTAGATGATGAAGATTATTTGCAATTGTTCGCTCAACAGACGTATGAACAAATATTAAAACCAAATATTAATAAACAATTATTTAACGTATTATCATCGAAAGAATTTCAAGGTAAGAATGAATAAAGTTTATTATTAGAATTTCAATGATTCATAGATGAATACATTTTAGTATAAAAATTTATTTTATCTTTGCTTTACGAAAGATATAATATGATGGTGAATTCTAGATAATAACCGATCATCTCGTTATTTTTTTTTGAAAATTTTTGAAAACTAGATGTTTGTGTTTTTATTATATTTTCTGAATGAAAAATTCTATAAAATTCAGAATATATCTCAAAATCTTAAACACACATTTTGTTCTTTAATTTGCGACATTTCAAAACTCTGAATATTTCGTCTTTGGGGAATTATAAGAGAAATCAAATACAAAGAAAAACGTAACAGCGAAATTAATAGATCAAACTGGAAAAGTAAATTGTACCGTTTTGTGTTCGTGAAATGCAAACAGAATTGTTTAGTTATATGAAAGATATTTTTATGTCTATAAGTGTGTAGAAACAATATTAAATAGTTATGAATCTATCTCATTCGAAACATTTTCATAAAGATTTAAATGTAGAATAATCAAAAAAAATGTTTGAAAATAGCGTAGCAGCACTTGAAAAGATCAACCGTATGACAATTATTACATCGTTTTATTTACTAATATTTACTCAAAAGAAAGACGAATAAAGAATTTATTTAAATACTTTGATCCTCAATACTTTTTGCCATTTAATGACTGCCAAGCGATAACATATTCATAATGTCCGTAAATTTCGGTGTCCTGTGGTGTGAAAAGTACCCAAGTTGATGTGTTTTCTTTTATTTCTTTTTTTCTATTTTATTTGCATCTAGGGCTCGTTTGCTTTTGTTCTATTGGCAAAAGTTATATTATGATTTTTTTTTATTACAATCCACGTAAGAATAATGCCGATGATGATAATTTTTTTAATGCTTATATAAAAAAGAGAAAGGGAAGAGTTTTCTTTTTCCTAGTGTATTTTTTCTTCTTTATGTTCTCTTTAATGTGATAGCGGTGTTGTAGACGATGTTTATCGCATTAAAAAGACGTGGTATGATAGTTTGAAAAAAAAAATATTGTAAAAAAAGCACACATAAAAGTTGCGGTGAATAAAAGAACAAACAGTGAGAAGAAAAACTACTACTACCATTGCTGTCATGCACGCACACACACAATGAATTAGTTTATTTAGACAATAAATAGAAGAAACGAACCAAAAAAAGAGTTCTTTAAAAAAAAGAGAAGAAAAAAAAATGGTATATCGACACAATGGACACACTACTTTCTCTTTTCTTTTCTCTGTCTCTCTCTCTCCCTCTCTTTCTCTCTCTCTCTTTTTCTTTTGTGTGCAAATGATATGTGTGTGAGAGAGATGATCAAAAGAAGATAATATGATGTTTTAAGAATAATATGTGTGAGCTTTTTTAAATAAAATATCACAACATCATGTATCGAACCGTTTATTATGAACGTTATTCACCATCATATGATTACTTTCCGACAAATGGTAATCAAAAAAGCTGGCAATCAGCATCATTATTACAACAAGCAGGTAAAAGAATAAAATATAAAAAAATAAATTATTTACTTAACGTGGTAATGAGAAAATAAAAGAGAAAAAAATGAACAAAAGTTAATAAAGAGAAAAATCGTTTTTTGAAAAAAGTGAACGTTTTATTGGAATGAAGATTTATAATTTATTATAGAGTCTAAATTTAGCAATGATCTATCGAGTACATAAGTACAAGAAACTAAGACGATTGATCATTTAATATTTCAATTTTTTTTTTATCAGATGAAAAATTGAACACTTAGTAACAAACTAAATTTTATTAGTGCAAAAACATGTTATTTTGTCTACATTTTATTCTACTCTTTAGTATGTGTTTTAGAACTGATTGACTGTCGGAACGTGTATAAATTAATCATTGAGCAAAGGAGAAGAAGTAGGAAAAAAAAATGAAAATTTAATTCTAATAGTTAAAAATGTACAGAAAAATAATTGAAACATTTAATAACTAATGTATTCTATGTTAAATTTTATATCTTGATAAATATTAACCGAATATTGAACAAGATAAGAGTAAAAATATGACTCATTTCTAAAAAAAAAGTTTATATCATAATATATTACGTTTTTATTGTATCTCCATTATAGTAGTCAAAATATCAAATTTTTTTTGTTTTAATTTATATAGAAGATCAACGAGTGAAGTGCGACATCTTTACAGACAAAAAAAAATATCAATCAATATGTTGATATTATTTTTTTTTTTTTCAATTAACTAATCGAAAAAAAAAATCGAAATATTTTCACTAGACATTAGTATCAATAGTCAGTCTATTATTAATTATTTTTTCTTTATCATTTTGTAGGCGAAATATAAATTGAAAAAATATTGATTGATTTTAATATAGATAGACTATTATATGAAAGACATAAATCTGATATTAGCTTTTATATTCCATAAGAGAAAATAAAAAACTATATCCTCTAGTTTTTAATATGAGATATGTCTAATGAATGGATAAAGATGATTATTTATTTAATTCAAAAATAAAAAAGTTAATTTCTTAAAGAACATATTTTATAATCTCTGTTGATTAACTAACTATTTTGCCTTGTCTCTTTGTATGTGCATGTGTATATTGATGAGTATAGTACATATGGTTTTAATCATATTTTATTTAAAAATTTTTTTTATAGATGAAGTTGATTGATAGTAATGATGATTAAAATGTATAATTGATTTATTATCTTTATTATTCTATTTATGAACTTGAGATGTTAAGTATATTAATTATTTTACACTAGTACATTATCAAAACGATCATCGTTGATTTCAAGAACATAACATTTGTCAACAATATACCATAGATATATATACATACATAAATATACATATACAAGGTTATTATATTCAGTATTGAAATATAAAAAAGAAAAAATTTTTCTAAACAGATTCATGGGTAAAATATATCTCTATAGATGTGTACATCATTTCATTTCTTTTTTTTTTAAAGATACGATTATTTGTATAATTAACCATTATTAAATATTTAACCTATTATAGAGAAAAGAGAACAGAGTTTATCATGTGAATATATCAACTATAAGTCAAGTTTGTCTCTCTTAACCAGGTGTAGAATATGATTATCACTATATTTTAAAAAAAAAAAAAATTTTCAAGGATTTTTTAAGCTATTAAACATGACAAAAAGAAGAAGAAAAAAAAAAAGGTGTCATTACAAAACCCATATGACAACCATTTGATATTGTCGGGTTATTATAAGTTTGAAATTCGAGATCATTTTTATCTAATGCTCAAAAAAAGAAAAGAAAAATCTATTTGAAATGACAAGATTTGATACTATTTTTAGAGAGAGAATATATCAATAAACGAAAAATTATGCATAAAATACATGTTACGATATTTAAAAATTAAATTAAAGAATTCAGAAGTTTTATGTGTGTGTGTGTGTCTCTCTCTATCAAAGATGAACAGAATATAAAACACTAAATATGTACTAGTTAGCTGACTGAGAAGGAAAATAATTGAATGCCAATGATTATGATGATAATCGCCTGTTTAGTTCATTTTTATCGATGAACAACACCAAAATTTTTACAAGGTCACTTTGAACATGAAATAAAAAAAGTGTCTCTTTTCGTTTCTTTCTTCTTCTCTTAACATTTTTTTTTATAAATTTGATAAATATTTTATTCCACTTGCATAAAGTTGTAATGTTAATACCAAAGGTGTACAATTCATACTCTCATATACTCAGCGTGTGGTTATTTCTCACACACTACTGACGACAACGTAAAGAAGAATCAATTTTTTTTTTTTTTAACAAGGCTACGTTCAATACTATTCGCTCACTCCCATACGATTGATTGATATTACGTACATAGTACTTACCTTTCCTTTTTCCTCTTCTATTTGACGAACTATTATTTTTACATATTTTTTTCTTTTTTTTTTTTTTTTCGTCGAAGTTACAATTTTCCATTCTAAACTATCAAATTAACATTTTGTAACACATAAATACATAAAATATTCATATATACTCACACACTGATCATATCAATGTTCCTTTAAAAATTCAATCTTTTACTTTTCTATTTTTCTATAGAATGCAAGAATGTTGAACAAAACGATATATCAGAAGTGTCTGTCAAAGTCAAGTTTCACAAATGACTAGAGTTTTTTTTTATAACTAATCAGTTTAAAATACAAATATTATTAACTAAATCAATTTTAAGATCAATATATATGTCAAAATCTTTTTATAGAGAAAATTTTAATATAATTCTGTTTTTCTTGTTTCTCTAATGTTTTGATCCGTTTCATTATAGACTATTTATATTAAATTGTTGTATATTCCAAACGAAAGTTTCGATGAGCCTTTTGGCATACAACAATATATATATATATATATAAAGATGTGTGTGTATATGTATATATACAACATATACACAGTCTTGCTTTTTTTTGATCAATTATGCCTTTGAAAAATAATAAAAGCCTTTTCGGTGCATATGTTGTACAATGATGTTCATTTTACCTTTTTTTTCTTCATCTATATATTATTTTTTTGTTGTTATTCTAATATTCTGCTGTGGTTATGCTCGCTTCTTTCTCCTCTTTTTTTTCATCTCTCTTTCTCTTTCTCTTTCCCTTCCTCTCCCTCTCTCTCTCTTTCTCGCTCTCTGTCTCTTTCTCTTTTACCATCTCATTACCATTACAAGTTCAAAACGCATAAATACACTTAACATCGTTTTCTATTTAGTAAAAATGGAAAAGAATTTTTAATTTTTCTTAAAGAGAAAGGACACAATGCCTTAAAAGTGTCTTTTTTTACTTTTTTCGAAGTTTAATCTTGTTAAAAAACATCATATAAAAACTAAAACGTTGCGCGATTATTTCTAAAAATAAATAGAGAACAACAGTACAATTAGATATCGTATATATCATCCAAACATACGCTTGTTGTCATTTGTGGCAGTTATTGAACTTGGTTTCAAGACATATCATAATATCGTCGACAAAAAAAAGAAAAAAGAAAGAAGAAGATGCATATAAACAAAACGATATTATACGATTGACATATATATATTAATTTCTGATAAAAAAAAGAAAAAGAAGAAGAAGAAGACCATTATTTATTGTTTATTCTATCTCTGGATATGCGTATGGTAATATAGAAGAGATTATATAATATTTTGACTCTTATTCATTTTCCAATCGTTATCCTACCTAATTCATCCATTTGATCTTCTTCTTCTTTTACATTTTTTTATTTTTATTTTATTTAAATACAAAATATTAGCAGAACTGTATTATTATTTTTAAAGAAGAAGTATATAGATTCAATGGAATTATATTTAATTATTTATCATCTTTATTTCACGATTAAATTTATCTTAATCGTTTAATATGGGTAACATGAATTGTGCAGCATCAGCAACGTCAATTGACAATAATCCAAAATCTAATAATACTCGATATATTGAATTAAATAATACATTAAATACAACTGTCAATGGTAGTTCCGAACGAACATCATCATCTTTATCATCATTTGTACCATTAATACCGGCAATTAAATTAAAATCAGCATCATTATCATCATATAATGTTCGTTCATCATTTTGTGGTAATAAAATTAATAATAATAATAACAATATTGGAAGTGCATTAACTGTTCATCGATATAATGAAAAAAATCTACCATTAGCATCAAATAATTATTGCACTAACAGCAATAATAGTAACAAAAAACAAGAAAAAAATAATAATAATGAAATACAAAAAGGTAAATATTTTTAATGATTTGTTCATTTTTGTTCTTTATACGTATATATATATATATAGATGTTATAAGTGTAATTCAACTATATCAAGTTCATCAGATGTAATTCAAACTTGACATTGAATGGTAGAATATGAATTTGTACAGATAATTTTCAATTTTTTTTTGTTTTGTTCGTCAATTATTGAACAACAATCAAATTATAGAAACAACAAATTTCAGTTCTAATACGTAAAATTGAACTATTAGAGTGATGAAAGATAGACATAAAGAACTGTTAGATCTGCAATAATCGTAATCATAGAAAATGATTACGTTAATAACTGTTTAAGAAAATTTTGAAACAATAGCTATTCGTTCTATGCTTCTGCAATAAATACTACTATTTTTCATGCGTTTTTTTGATAAAATACTAATTTTTTCTTTGTTTTTCTGTTCACTTGCTTGTACATGGTGAAATCTAGAAAAAACTATCCGTGGAATTCAATCTACAAATTTTGACTTTCTGATCTATGTGTGTGTGATCATTTTTTGTAATCCGATCTTTATTTGTCGTGTGTACCACTCTAGTTCAATGTCACATAGAGAAATCGAGATTTACTGCTATTGTAAATTGAAAATTATTAAATGGTTCACTAATACGATCTTCTCCGAATAGAAATTTTTACTTAAAAATCGAACATCCATGTTTCGATTTGTATTTGCGCTACGCCTCCAATATACGTGTGATAATGATGTATAAAACTTTGTAACAGTTGGATATAATCGAGAGCTAAAAATAATTTTAACGAACAAGAACGTGATATTTTATTAGTATGTAAAAGTTTTGTTATGAATTGATGAGCGAAAAAATGTAGAAAGAAATTTGACTGATATGTATTGATACATTTTTTAATAATTCATAACGACATGGAACAAACGTTATGTAAATGATGATGATACGTGTATTTCAAACGATCGTTAATCTATCTTACACGAAAAAGATTTCTTTTCATTTATTTATTTTTTCTACTCTCTTTTCCAACAATTCGTAAGCAGTAGACATGTAGTCATTTTAGAATTGAACTTCTATACTAATGGAAATATATCTTTTGTTGTTTTTTTGAAATGTTCAATTATAACTCAGTTTATAATTTGTAAAGAGGTATTCATCCAATTCTGTATCATCATTAGATCTAAAATATGAGTTCTTTTAAAAGAGGTTTTCCCTCAGCAGAGATTTTGTAGAGAAAGAAAGTCGTCTTTAGAATCGTATGTCGTTAAAAATTTTAAAAAAAAATCTAATTTTTATTACAATATGAAAAAAAAAAGAAGAGTTACGAGATTTTGTTTATTTTTTGTTTTGCTTTGTCGAGAGTTTTGACAATGTCAGATCTATTATCGACAATTAAAAGTGTTAAAACTTTTATAATTTAAAAAATTTGTTCATTAGTCTTTATCGTCATCTGTCAGAAATAAAAGACGATAATACAGATATATCCGGAGGAAATATTCGAAATCATAATGACCTTATTTTTATTATTAAGTGACCAATGATCATTTGTCATATTGTATATCAGTTGAAAAAAATTTGTTGAAAAATAACAAAACATAAAAAATGACATTTTATTAAGTTATATTGTATTGTATTGTGTTTGTCTATATAAAATAGGCACAACAGGTGGTAATGGTCATTGGGTCAAGTATTAGTATATTGAAAGTCAAGAAGAAAAGAAAGAAAATTTGTAGATAATGTAAATAATAAATTCTATGTGTTGAGAGATGAATATATTGTATTTGAAAAAAAAAAAAAAAAATTTGTCACTGTTTATTAATCATATAAATTTACAATTGCGTAACTGAACAAAGTTAACAAAATTTTATATTGTTTGTTATCAATTGTTTTTCTTGTGAGAAAAGGGTGTTAATAGTAGAAATAGAAGTTGTCGTTATGATCATAAAAAGAATGTTTGCTGTCGGCAATTTTTTGTCTTATTCAAATTTTCTAAGTTGACTAAGACTTTAAGAAAGGATGTTACGTTTTTACTTTCTTTTTTTTTTGTGAAAGCTCATCAAATGTTTATGAATAAATGATTAAAAATGCTTTAAGAAAGATTTGTTGTAGTGACATCTATTGTTAAAATGATCAAATTTGACATTCAAAATTTAACATTTTTATGATAATCACTATCGTTAGTAGTAGAAAATAGAAGCTATTTAAATATGTCGTTGTTATAATGTGTTAAATTTGTTTTACAATCGTCGCAATTTTGGTTAGAGACAATGATCAGTATTAAAGTCAATGGAAGTTTTTCCAAGGTTTGACATTTTATGTAACTAAAAATCGGTTGTAAAACGAATTTCTCAAATCATTGATAAATACTTCTTCAATAATTATGATCAGAATGGCAGCAGAACGACTATATTTCTAAAAAAAAATGTTTCTTAGATGTTTCTGTCGTCATTTTCTACTGAAAAACAAAAATTTAGTCTCGCATTCTATAGGCGAGTCTCCTATTTAATAAAGTTTCAGAAACAGATAATAATTGACATAGAATTGATTTTCTTTTTGATCTATCAAATGCAGACCAAATTCCATGGTCACAGGAAGAAAGAAAGAGAAGTTTGTTTCCTGAATAAAAATAGAATTAAAAAACGCTTTACAAGAAATAGAAACCTTTTTAAAAGTCGTAAAAAACCTAATTTCCTATTAAACAAAAAAATTAGGCTGCAAGTCAATCAGTAACTGTTGTTTTTTTATAATTGCACATTAATTTTAAGGCCAAGACAACATTTTACATCATTTGTATAGTTAAAATAGAAAAAAAGCGATCGTTGTAAGAGAATCTCCAAGGATAATAAACTGACGTTTCCATGAATCACACTTTTTTATGTTTTATTTTTTATGCTGTTCACGAATCTGATGTCCATTATTGAAGGTATAACAGTTTTTCCAGTAACGATTTAAAACTTTTTAACATTCAATATCTTATAGGTCTTATATCGCTGTGAAAACTTGTTCGTTCAGTCTGAAAACGTTTTTTTTTACACATGATCTGTTCTACGAAGTAAATGTAACAAAATCGTTCAATCGAAAGTTTTGGATATTTTATAAAATTGCACTTGTAAGAACTAGCAGTAAGAATAAATATCACGTTCGTAATCAACATTAAAATTAATTCATAGGAAAAGTCGATTCATCTGATTTCCTCATTGTTTGCTAAGTTCAGTTGTACCTTTGAGAAATGAAATATGTTTAAACTGAACATAAGACTATTTAAACTTAAATGTAGCATATGTTCCTGTTCACTATGTTCTAAAAAGAGTGTCAATGCAGTCGGATGACGTCTATAACACTTCAATGCTTAATCACTCTGTTGAACAACAAAGAAAAAAAGAATAAGGTCTATTAATTATTGTTCAAAGGACCATAAAAGAACGTTTGCTGCTAGTAATCTTTTTCTTATTCAAATTTTCTAAGTTCACTAAGTTTAAGCAAGGATATTATGTTATTTTCTTCTTTTTGTGTGTATGAAAGCTCATAAATGTTTATGAATAACTGATCAAAAAAAAAAACGCTTTAAGAAAGATTTCGTTGTTCTTTAACTATTTGGTGACATCTATTGTTAAAATGATCAAATTTGACATTCAAAATTTAACATTTGTATGATGATCGGACTTGACAGTTTATACATGTAGGATAAACTTACCATTTATTGTATTGACAATAAGAATTTTACACAAAAGATTTGATAAGTGTTGCATAAAAAAATACAAAATAAGATAAAAGCTTAGTAAAATCGTAATTAAAATTTTACTTCTTTTTATCTTAAATAGTTAAGATTAGTATCGAACAAAATAAAGTTTTTTTTTTTTTGAATAAGAAGTATGTTTAACTGTATAATCAATTGAGAGAGTAAATTGGTCTGTTAATTATAGTATAAAAATATCTAAGCATGATTATTAGACAATCACTATTGTTATACTATATACTTTACTCTACTTTGATCCATAGTACAGTAAATCATTTTTCTTCTATGTGTCTATAAAATTATCAAACAATAATCTTTTCTATATTTCGACTAAGAATTGGTATGTTTGCCTCTAAAATGATCTGTTTAAGAGTTTTTAAATTTACACACTATTTCATGTTGATAATCACATACTTTAAAATCTAATGGTTTTACTTTGGTTTTTTCTTAGAGGTCATTTGATTTTAATCCTCTTCTGAATATTTTGAAAATATTTGAATATGTCAAGAATAAAGTTGACAAATTATCCTGATTTTTAATAAAAAAAAAAAAATTTCTTTTAAAAATATTTAAAAAACACTTGAACTATGTACTTTTTAACGCGAACAAACGACTGATGTTTTTTATTGTATTCAAAATAATGTTTTTTACTTAAATTATAGAAGAAGTTTGAAAAAAACAAACATACTTTTGGTTTTAGAAGTAAGAAAAAAATGATTTTGGTAGCAAATTAAAATGATTGAACCACAAAACAACATGATCAACTATTGTATTTCTTCCAATCCTCTAACAGAAGTCATTCCATAATTTTCTTTTCTTTATTTTTATAGTAAATGAATAATTGTACTTGTCAGTGATATCCGACTTAAAATAGATGTAATGAGCTCTAATTTCTGTATTTTTAAAACAAACGTATGTTCGACAGGTTTTCTCGTAACAAAAAAACATCTTTCAGTCTAAAAGACATGCTAAAAGAGAAAAGTCTGATGATTAGAGTCTCTATTTGTTGTCATAATTTTATATAAGTATATTCAATTGCTAAAAACTATTTAACTATCGTTAAACGGTTTTATTTATGATCCATATTTTTGAAAATATGAATATTCATAAATATTTCTTTCTCTCTCTCTCTCTCTCTTATGGTTGTCAGTCAACCTGTCTCATGTATATCCGTTTATTCATCATGATTTGATGGCATCAAACAGAAAAAAAGGGAGAAGAAGCTTATTCTGTAAAAAGAAGGAGAAAGAGAAAAAGTTAAAATAAAATGAGTATAAAAAGAGAGAAAGAACAAAAATAAATAGATGAATAAGCATATATATGACAAATATAATGGCGTTGTATGAAATTGTGTGTTTGGTATATCTTCATGTCAAAATAGAAGAAGAGACGAAAAAAATAAACTCTAAAAAACATTGTCGTCTTCTTAAAACAAATAGATGGTCTAGTTTTATTTTATAAACAAATAAAACAAGATATTTTTATCGTATATATATATATGCTAATCAGCTCCCAAGTCTAGTTTTCAGTAATGTCATCAAAAAAACGTAATTTATTGTCAACTCCTGTTCACTATTCTGGTGATGATCATAATCGAAAATCAAAATCTCATAGTCGATCAACAACAGATTTACAACACGATATGAGAGAGAATTCTACTGAATCTGTACATCTTCCACATGTATCGACAAGTAATGATCCATCATCGTTGTTAAAACCAATCTCTGACACAAATTCGTCTTCTTCCAATTTTGAAGGAAAAAAACACCGAAATAAATTATTTTCATCTAAACATCATCATCATCATCATCATCCTCAACAGCATCTTCCTCCATCGAATGTAAATCAAGAAACTGGTCCACTACGATCTCTAGGGAATATAAATCAAGAAAATGGTCCAGTACAACCTCTAATGCCCATATGTATTAGTCGTGGACGATCAAAAAAACATACAAAACGACCACAATCGTTAGGTCTTGAACTTGTAGATGTATTTCAGCAAGACAAGAAATTACCACTATCACCACCACCACCAAATGAAAAGTGTAATAATGAGTCAATGACAAAAATTAATAGCGGTAATTTTAAATAATTTATAAGAGACAATTAGACATTATTAAGCGTTGCTAACCTTGATTACCTTTATATTGTGCCAATGATAGCATTTAACAAAAGAAAAACATTGAGAATGAAGGTTAAAAGATGTTTATCTCAAAACCTTTCAGGAGTAGAAGGTCACCTGTCGTCTCCGATAGTTAAGATTCTTTAAAAAAATAGATCAAATATTTATGATCTTACGAGTTCAATAGTACACATCTATTTGTCTTTTGAAAAAAAGAATCTTCTATATCGATCGAAGAAACATAGATCATAACTATTAAGGATAATATTGCAAATTTTCTTTAAAAATTAAATATAAAAATTTTCAGTTAAGGAATAGAAACGAGTACTGTTTATATGTCTTGTTGACAGACAGTTATTTGGCATCTAAATTAATGCTTTTTTTTGGTGAATAAATATTCTCAATAGTCTGTCATCGTCTTATAGCGAATAACTATATGAAAAATATTCTGTCTGATTGCAGCAGTTAGAAGAGAGAAGAATGCTAAAGATGTATGTTACATTTTTTTTTATATGCTCTAAAACAATAGAGTGCACTGGAAATTATTAGTAACACACATCTTGTGTATTGCATTTTATCCTTGTTGAAAATAATAGCAAGATTGTTGTTGTTGTTGTTTATTAAAATACTGTGTATTATGTCAATGTACTCTGTTTATCAATGGTGACACGACTAGTTAAGAATTTTGAAAGTATGTAAATTAAAAAAGTTCAATGAGACGTGTTTTGTTCTACAATATAAGATAATCAAAAAAGTGTTTTCTCATTTTTTTTATTTTAATACGATTACACCAATCATATGTCGTAGTTTAACGTGATTCTTAGAAAAAACTCTACTACTTTTCTTAGACGTATCGAGGTGTACTCAGTTAATTATTAGTTTTTTACTTATTATCTATCGATACACAATTTGATAATTAGCATGACATTACTGTAAATTGAGATAATAGTCTCGTCTCACTAGGTCCAGTATATTTTTGATCTAATTATGGATCGTTCTCTATTATATTAGTTTGTATGAAAAGTCTAAGATGATATATCAGTATTTTATTTGCTTGATACGATTAACATGACTACTACTACTACTACTACTTCCAGTAATATGTTTTTCTTTTATTTCGTTTAGGTAAGTGTATCAACGGATTATAGTCGTGTTCTTATACTGATAATAATGATGATACTTGACTAATTGTGAGCAAACGAAAAATAAGTATGATAATAACAATAATAATGATGACTTCGTAAAACTCATGTAAGTTTTATGTAAAACATAGAGAGAGAGGCAAGATGTACCATTGAAAGAAGTGATAGATGTCTGTTTTTCTTTTTGACAAATAGGGTACTGTGTACTGTGACTTTGTTTGATTCTATTCGCGGTAAATGTAATTGACGTATCGTATTTGAGCGGTATTTTCACTATGAAGTCAAGATGTATCGAAAAATGCTAATACTTACTTGTTCGCTATTGTTGTTGGGAACTCTTTTGTGCATATTGTTTTGTAATTTATATGGACGAAGAGTATGTTACAAAAACTTGTGTGTTGAGGTCGCCACTTTACAAATAGAGGAAATGCATGATGTTATTTATTTTATCTACCGTATAAGAGTTCCATAAGGTTCTTTATATTCTGATTAACCCTTTCAGGATCGGTTTAATTTGTATATAAAAAGTGCTGTTCAAAAGTTTAAGACCTTTTTTATTTTGCAATATCTCGGCTTCGCTGATAGATAGAGACTTCATCCTTTCGTCAAAAGAAAGCTATCACTAAACTCTACCATATGTGAAAATATCGTTAAGTTTCAACTTATTTTGGCGGAGTTAGATAGAAAATAGTATTTTCCTAAAAAAAACGGAAAAAACGCATCTTCAGTATATCGTTTTTCCTAACCAAGAGATTTTCGACAAAAAAATTCAGATGGCAATGTCTCGATAGAGAATTTCAAGAGCTATCTACTGACAAAAACATTTTTGACTTTCGATTCTGTCTTCGTACTCAAAACCCTCTTTTACTG